AAGAAACAGTCTCGTCTGTTACAATTGCAAATGCAGCAGAACCATTCACAACCTCACTGCAACTCTGTGATCTAGATGTAGATTTATCTGCACAAAAACTGTGTGTGCATATCAGAAGTAAACTTCAGAAATAATTTATTGCCTGTGGCAACAATTTTAAGTCTGGATAGATCAGGGAGAGGAGAGGATTTCACTTGTATTTTACATAATGTTTTTGAAAATTCTGCCTTGAAAGTTTTACCACAGAGTTCAAGTGACTTAGCTACCAAAAAAAAAAAAAATTAAAATCCTGAAATATCATTGGTTCTGGAAATATTTCCATATTGCATTGAAAATCGTTATAATGAATGGAAAAATGCCTTTTGGAGAAAGAGGAAAGGAAACAGTTTGAGACAGCTTATTGGAACAGGAATGGCAGGCCTTCAAACACTCTAGTTCTTACTGAGATACCTTAATAAGCAAAAATACATTGGAGTTGCTCAAAGGGTCCCGAAACATGAAACTTCTGTCATTGGTCAGTTTTATTGTGAGGCACAATGACAATTTAGCGTAACTAAATTATTAAAAGCATTTCTTTTATCTTTTTCAGTATGTAGAAGGTGTTGCAGGTGAGATACAGCCAATGTCTGATCAGCTGAAGGATAAAATAGATGATTTATCACAAGAAATTCGTGACAGGATGCTTCCAGAAAAGGTGTTGCAAGCTGAGAACCACGCAGCCCAGCTGGATGAATCATCTGCAATACTGGATGGGTAAAGCTATCTAGTTGGTTAATTTGTGTGTCTATCTTTTCTAAACTATTTCATACATCTTGTGACACTTATAAGGCTGCATTAACTGCAGACAGTGCTGTCAGATGCACTCATAACACAGTCTAACCTAACTGTATACTTACTGCTATGTTGACATGAAAAAAGCTCAAACTTTCTCTTACAGAGTCCTCTGTGTGTTTTCATAAAAACAAGCAGTATTTTTAAGATGACCGTTTTGGTAGGAGAGCCTTATCATGGTGTTATTTTTTTTACTGTCTGAAATCCTCCCTAGTGACAGATGGTAATGCCTCTAATGGTTTGTGTCATGGGCTAAAATGGTTAAACCTAAGTAGAGGAACTTCTGTTTCTGTTTTCTGTTATCACATTCCTAAATATGTGAGGATTGCAATGTCTTCATTTTCTATGACCACAGCCCTTTCACTAGAATAATTCTTTGTAACTCATCATGAATATAGTTTTCTGGAAAGAATAGAAGGTAAGGGGTTTGTTTAGTTTTGTTTGGGGTTTGTTTGGTTTCTTTGGGGGAAAACGGGGAGTGTCTTTTGGTTTATTGCATTTTTTGCACTTAAGAATGCAAGACATAAATAGTAAGTGTCATTTTCTACAGTAATATACAAAAATAGATCATGGATATTCTGCCTCTTGGACCTTTCCTCAGCATAGCTTCAGAGTTTCATTTTCCGAAAAGCATTGCATGAATAAAAACAGTATATTATTCTTTTTAACATCAGCAATATACTCCTTTTCTGCTGCTTACATCTTTTGGATCTACTTGAAGACTTTAATATCCCAAAGACTTGTGAGCAGATGCTTAACACATTTTTTTCTTGCCAGCATCAGTATTTTTGAGGAAAAGGCACAGAATTATCTCTGATAAAGTGTCTGATACTTGCAGAATTACAAGCTTCATACACAGTGTAGTCACGCTACTCTAGATGTTCAGTCTAATTTATGTTCTGAGCAGTACATAAAGTAATGATAGCTGTGGTTTTCTGAGTAAAAAGGGCAAGGATTCTAGAAAAACTGTGGCTTTTGTAAATGGTATGTACACCATCTGATTAGTACATGTAACTTTTGTGGTCCACCTCATGCCTAAAGTAGGTGACTAGTGTCACATCCAACTGCAGTACTGAGTTTTGATATAAATATCCAAATACATGGTAAGTTGACACGGAGGAAGTAAGAAGTAGAGAAATTGTAGACAGAAAATAATATTTTGCCTCCTTTTTGAAATGTTGTCAAGATGCATTTTGAGGTAGAGATTTTTAACTATGCTAAATAGACTTTCTTAGGGGTGCGTGCATGTGCCTCTGTCTTAGCACAGGTTGGCAACTTGGCCTTAAGGAGCTTAAGGTAGTGTTTAAAGTTGCATTCATTGTGGTAGTGCAGTTCCATGTTTACATATATCTGACCTGGACATCAACATCAGTTTCTCGAGATAGCCAATAAAAAATGGATAATCATGGACATTAAAAATTATATCTAAAAGCAAATTGTTCAAAACTGAAATGCCTAATAGATTATATACATAATTTCAAAGGACAAAGAAATACCAAGGTGCTATATAATCCTGCATCAGGAAAAAGCTGTTTGCTTCATGCATTAACATTAAACAGTCATACTTTACAGGAATATGCAGTCTCTGTATGTTTTAGGTATTTAAAAATGTGTTTGCCTTCACAACTGGCACTTGTGTGTCTTTCAGTTAATGCTAAATTTGCTGGAAAATACCATTTCATCTTATAGGAGAAACTGAGGGAGAGCCCTTTCTCTCTAATCACTCCCTAAGGCTTCAAATATATTGATTGATGATGAGGATATACTTTTGAGAGTTAGAACGTGGAAGAGTTCGTGAATTTAACCTAGAAAAAAATGTTATTTTTCCTCTATACAAGAAGGTATTAGCCTAGGCTTCTTTCTTATGGCTAATTGCCTGCTCAAGAGTAAATGTCACTGGTGTTTGGAGAAATCAGTTCAGTTCCCTCCTAACCAGAAGGGATTTGAACCATATTTCTAAGTACTGGAGCTACTAGCTAGATAGCTATTCTGGTCTGCATATTTTTCTAACAGAGCATCATAAAAACTCACTATAGCCTTGTGAGCTCCATCTGTAGCTGGAGGACATATGCTTTTACCGAGTGATGCAGAGGCAGTTCAGCCATGCTGATTCTACAGCAGCCTAAAGGCTGCTTCTCTCTGTTTCTCTGTTGTCCACATGTGGAGTCCAGGGTGTATACCTTCCATCCCCTTTGTCTTTTCTATTGCATGTTGTAGAAATCATTAAATACTCATTGGAGCGAGGATTGTAGCCCAGCTGTCTCAGGTCCCCAGAGAATAGATTAATTACCAGGTTAAGGAATGAATTTCCCTCTCTTCCACACACACTATCTCAATCACAAAGTATTTTATACTGGCTGGCACAGGTCCAGCAGGAGTAATCCCTGCCTCCCTTATATTGTCATATACCTTGATGGCTAAAGCATTTCCCAGAGAGACAAAAAAAAAGCAAGTTCAAATCCATCCTTGTCTGGTTCAAGCATGGATTTTAGCCCATTTACCCTTTATTCAGGAAAAGCATCATAGGTATCAGGCATAATGTATTCTGAGGTAGATGTCTTCAAGTTAATTCTGTAGGTGCAGTACTTCATAGAAAATATTTTAATAGACCATATGGAGTGCAAGAAAAGTGATTTCTTCAGCCTGCTGGCTAAAAATTCCCCTGGAAGGGGGGTTAGCTGAACTGCAGTCCCTGCACCATGAAATATTGTTTCTAATTTTTAATCTAAGTACAGTTATTAGAATGGAATGTTTCATGTAAGTGGAACATTCCATTCAGTATAAATCATTATTGCATATGTTTTTCATTTTGGTCAGCTAAATTAATATTTAGGATTTGTTTCAGAAAGCGAGATCTATTCCAAACCTGGCATTTCTGTGTTTAGCAGCTAGACCAAGAAAATAGTTTTTCAGAGAGTCTACTTTAAAATGTGCTTGTAATGATCCCCCATGTTCCCCCAGTGCAAAATTCATTGAGTTGCCTGGCTCAATACATCACCTATAAACTTGCATTATGAGTATATGTTATCTGGATTAGAATGTTAAGCAGTGCACTATCTTTCCAGAGTGTCTGATCTATTTTTATCTCACAGAACCTCTTCTTTTAGTGAATATTGTTTTTTATGTCTTTCTGCACAGATAAAATGTGAATTCCATTAAACACATGATGCCAGGACTGAAATCTCAAGCGTTGCATTGCTCTCTACAGAATTGCCTTAGAAATAGCCTTAGAAATACAGGCTGTTGGGTTTGGAAAAAGTAGGATACTATGTGCTGTTGAACTCTAATACCAGGTTTAATGGTGTGTTTACTTCTCCTGTCCCAACAGAATCCTTGCTGAAGCAAAAAACCTCTCTTTCAATGCCACACTTGCGTTCAATGCTTATACCAACATCAAGGATCACACAGATGAAGCTGAAAAAGTTGCCAAGGAAGCCAAGGCTATTGCAAATGAAGCTATGCAAGCGGTAAGAAAGATAAGTAAATTGGGAAGAAGGCTTAGATTTTCTGTGCAACTGTGCTACACCTTATCTCAGATGCAGTTTTCGCCATCTTATGACTTTATTTAGAGACCCCCTGCCAGCATAGATTCTTATGTTGAGGTCAGAAGGCTATGCCCCTGTTAGAGGTCTATGCACCTTCAAATGAAATCCCCATTTCTTACTAACTCCCATTCTTTATTTTAAGTTCCCTTTTTGTTTACTATTCATCTTCCTTCTTTTGCCTTTCAGTCTCTGTCTATGGCTCAAGTCAACAGCTTTGAGTCAAGAGTGTAGGTCATTCAATACTCAGTAAAGCTAGTTTATATTTAACAAACGTTTTGCACACATCTAAAAAACTCCAAACTTTAATTAACTCTTCACCCTCTAGTTCCGTGAAAATGCTCAGAGGCATTTTTGACTGCACATAAGATGAACTGTGTGCCCCTGACCGAATTCTAGAAATGGAGATTGTAGGGGAGGAGCAGAAAGTTTTATTCAGGGAAACCATACAGCTTCTTTTGTGAACTCTGCCAGTTTTCTCAGAGAAATCTTACTCTCACTATGAGGTACTGCATGCAAATTTTTGGAAGAAACTGAGAGAGCTTTTAAAAATAATACTGTAAGGTAAAGCCAGCTTTCCAGCCTGAGTCATAATGAGGAACTCAGCTCCTTAATGTGTATACTCTGAGCAGAAAACGTTCTGACCACAGCCAGGATTATTTTTTATGTCAAATATCAAAGGAGTTAATGGCTAATTTGAAGTCAGTCAGTGAGCAGCTCACATGCACTTTACAGGCACACAGAAACATGAGGAGATGACAGTATAATATGAAAGTACCATACCCTATATTTGATACAGAAATATATAGATGAACAGAAGCAACTTGTACTTACAGCACTTGTACATGAATAAAGATAGCTTGCAGAGAGCTACTTCAGTCAAATAGTTTATGAGAAGAGCAAAAGCAATCACACACTGTAAAGGTCTGTATTTAGGAGAGAGAGAGTGTTCTAGCCACTGCACAAAAGTTTTGATATTTTTAGGCTGTTTACATTGTCAACTTCTATTTCAAATAACACTAATTACTGTATTTCTCTCTTGATGAAAAAATCTCACCTCACACATTAGTATGCACTAGTTCTCTGTTAATAGTTGTGTTTCACTGGAACTCCTGATTACACTGCAGAAGTAAATGAGGAGCTGTGGATTTTTTTTCTCTTCACATTAGGATTTAATACAGAGAGCTATCTTTTGCTCCTTTGATGATTTCCAGTGAGTGAGGTAGGCAACTGTTTCAGGGACTGAATAGCAAAAAAGACATACACAGCAGTCAAGAAACAAAGCAAGCAATTATAGTATGGTTACAAAAGAGTCTATATCAGATGGTGAGCTGGCTGATTATACCATAGAGAGAATGTGGATAGATAATTTGAAAGAGGTGGAGGTGAAGATGGACAATATGATGTAAACAGAGGTGAATACCAAAGAAAGAGACCAAAGATATTTTTAAGGTGAGGTTTTAAACATCTCTATTGTATGTTTTGTTAGAGGGAGCTTGTTTTTTTGTTACAAGCTGTACATGTATAACGGGGATCTAGTTGATAAAAGAGGAAAATGGAAGGAGCTGCTGCCTCCTAAGTGTAACTGACTTGCTATAGAAGTGGTTTACCATCAAATTGCTGCAGAACAAGGTAGATGTTAATCATTATTTGGTATAGGATTACATGAGGATTTCATGATGGATTTTTAAAAATTGGTTAATTGTGAAGATCAGTCATTGTTTCACTGTTCTGTTTCTTTGCTTTTATGCAATGACTGTTGAATGTTTACTCATCCTAAATGAGGAGCTTAACTGCTAACCAGATAAATCAGACTTGCTCTTTCTGCAGGCCCTAAGGAACTTGCTTTTAGCTGAGTTTCACCATGAGACTGGGAGTGCACTCTCACTCAGGGCTGTCTGGAATACTGTCATTCAAGCACTCTCCTGGAAGGCAACACTTGTGGATTTGAGCCCACTCAAATTGAGAAGCCTCTAGAAACTTCGTCCCCTCCTTTCTGAGAAGGTGCCCTTTGGGATCTTGTGTAGAAGACAGAGATCATGTCTTTACCCTCTTTTTGAAAGATGGAGCCATGTTGTCTTTATGAGAGCAGTTGTGGGTGCCTGTCTTCTGTAAAAGACTGATCTCCAGATGCTAGGAGATAATGGAGGAAAGTGCTGAAGCTCACATGCCTCCCTGAGCCTAAACCTTTCCTACTGGCCAATTATAATGTTGTGGCAGGGGCTGGAAGGTTTCTCAACAGCAACAAGCTGGTACATGAACTAGACATAGTAGAGACAGGATTGAGTTTTGAATTCTGTATGTCACTGGAGTGAATAATTACAAGAACCTTAGTGATATGTCAGGGTTTTTTTTTTTATTTTTGTTTATAATGGGAAAATTACTGTTTTCAAATTAAGCTAATGTTGCTAAAAGCAAGAATGAAAAGATACTTAAAATCCGTTGTGATTACAGGAAGCCTGATAAATGACTGGAAAAAATGTATTAAAAATATGACACAAAAATTCCTCCCAAGCTTTCTATGATGGACTTACTCTACCATTAAAAGCAAAATAAATTTATCACAGATGGGAAACCTTTAGCATTCAAGCAGCTTCAACAACCCGTTACTTAGCAAAGGCAGTAATTGACTGAAGAAAGAGGGGTTACATTAACAGATCCAGCTTATGTCTCACAGATCAGAATCATAGTTTTACAATACATCTTGAAAAAGCATGACTATTAGGCATTTTAGAGAGGGCTTAGGTGTTTAGTATCCTAATTCCTTCTTTGCTTTTGACTTGCTTTGTAGTGGTACCCCAATAGTTATGCTGGCGGTTGAGGTTTCCGTATTAGCATAAAGTTGCCTAGCCATCCTCTTCCTGAAGATGTCCTGAGGGGCAAATCTTATGTACCACTTTGGTACTTCAGAATGCTCAGCTGTCTTCAGGACTGGTAAAAATGACAGTAGCCCTAACTCTTGCATAGCTGAAAATTTCCCAGAGTATATGTGAAAAGAAAATAATTTAAGAAAAAGGCAAAACTATTTTTAACTGATGTGAATTAGTACTTAGATCTATAAAATACCTTATACATATGTGAGTTCAAGTATGTGATCCTCAAAACTGGCCCAGTGCATTTACAGCCATGATTGTAGCTGTACCTCTGACCAAAATCACGAACATCAGCAGATTTGGGCAACATTATGCCTACCTCATGTTTACAAGCATTCATGAAATGTCAAAAAAATTCCTTTCTGCAAAGCCCCCAGCAGTTCTCAGTCTGATATGCATTCAGACCATGCCCAGAATGAGTTGTCAGGGGAGTCTTCACAATAATGTGACTATGGCTGATCTTATTAAAACTTGCAGCATGTAGCACATTTCCCTGTTACTGTGATAAGTCTGTGATTCACACAGTCATCCCTGGGAGATCCAGAAGGATCTCCTCCATCCTAGAAAAGTGACATAGCCCACCAGACTATGGGCTGAACGGAAACCTTTCTGCCACTCCTGCAGAAGCTGGGATGTCTGACAAAAACAGAGTTCAAGATTCATCGAAATACCAGAAAAAGGAAGACAGGGGGGATATTCTTCCTAAATTATTTCTTTACTTCAAATTGTCTGTTAATTATCAATTCATATAGTTCTATCTTTAATTTGATAGATGTTTTTCTTTTGCAGATAAAGTTTTTGCTAACCTGTAGATAGGAGAAAAACAGACCATTAATGATGATGTATAGTGTGGCAGCATCTTGCATTATATTATTATAACGGCACTTATGCCTCTAAACCACGATTGAGATGGCATTGTTTAGATACATAAAGAGATCTCACTTTTGCTACAAGATGCAACAAGCAGTAAAGCTGCACAGGGTTTGCACAGGGAGGATAAGGGGGCATCAAAGAAGGCAAAGGCAGAGGAAGGCACTATCCCCAGGTTATGAAAGAATTAGAATAAATTGGATACCTGAGACCCTGCAATTTTCCTGTTTATCTTGTATCACAGTCTTTTTTTCCTCCTTTTTTTTTTTTCCTTTTTTTTTTTTTTTACAGCAGGTGTCCCAATTTAGAAAATAATATCAAAGACCCTTGGCTTTCAGTCTTACTAAATTATAAAGGAGGTCATTATGACCCAGGCTTTCCACAAGCACACAATCTCACCTCACACAAAACCATTGTTTTATTCATTATTGACTTCATCATAACTCAGTGTCTCATAAGGCACATGAAAAGCTGGCAAAAAAAGTGTGTTTTACATCAAATGTCTTGACTGATCCTCCCTTTCAGAATTATTTAAAAATAAATATAAAATAAAGCTTTTAATCAGCACAAGTGTATTTGTCTCTGAAGGAGCTTTTCCAGTATTAACTTCATGCTGAAATCTGTTTCTGACTAATTGTCAGCATGGGGCCAAATTATTGTCCCTGATTTGATTAAATTCTTGGTTTTGCATTGTAAATCTATCCTTCCAACTTCAGTTTATTGAATATAAACTGTTTTAACAGCCAGTCAACCATGCCTAGTCTTTTAATAATAATAACAATCTTTCTTTTGGAAGTCCATGGTCATAGAGTGATCATACCCTGCCTTCTGTTAGTAATGGGAACAGAAATATAAAAGTATTATCTGATTTGACAGGTGCATCTGCCGTAAAATCTGGCAAAACATTCTTCCTGCAGGAGCAGTCTTTTGCTTAATTGGCTAGGTTGTTTTTTTCTGTGTTTATATGTATTTTTCTATTACCAATGATGTTTGTATTACGTGATAAATCTTATAGATTTATTTCTAGAAACTGACTTTGTCCATCTTTTGAATGTATAGTTGTTGATATTGAAAGGAATTTGTGTACACAGCTTAATATTTCAGACGAGCTTGGAAATACGACAGTCATATCAGCCTTACAGCTTAAAATCACTTAACCTGTGATGAAAGCTAAGCACACGTTTACATCTCATATGAATACAAGGAAACTTTAATAGCTGTTTCCCTGTGACATGGCAATATATGCCATCAGATATCCTGTAACAAAAAGTTTGGTGCTGAATCTTGAAAGTATTCAAATCATTCCCTAGGATGTCTAAAAGAAAAAGAAATGGGCAAATCCAATATAAGGTTTTTATGATGTCATAAAAAAACAACAAAGATTCTGTAGTACATGAAATATCACCTCTGGGCTTGCTCATTATACAAATAATGAACAGCAATAATAACTGTGTCATTTAATTGACACACAGTTAATTTTCAAGTATATGTATCTGCCCTAGAAAATGTAAAATAGCTGCTTCTTAATTACATACTAGTTACAATGCTATGACCCATGACTAATATAGAATGTTATCTGACTGTCAAGAGTATTCTCAAAGAAATGTATTCAGTATGATGTCTGACCTGAGTTCAGTCTTACCAACTGAAGAGTAAGTGGCTCAGAATCTAGAGTATTTCCTACCAACTTAAAATACTAATCTAATTTACAAAAATCATTCTATCTGTTGATCAATCTCTGCACTGAAGGTAGAGATGGATGTTTTTCAAAAGGAAGATCTTTAAGTAGCATGATACAATGAAGGATAGTTAGTTATGAAACTCTTTCAGATTAACTGCAGTTTGCCCTTCTTTTTAAACTCTATTTGTTTTTTAATATCATATTTTCTTTACTGACCTAGCAATTGCAATTCTTGAATTTAATGACAAAGGAATCTCTGTTATCAGTATTAGAATTTGGATCATTAAATCCAAAGGTACTGTAGCTGCTGTTAGGGAGAAATACCGTATTGCGTGGTGTTGTGACCATACTTGGAGGGAGAAACTCGTGCTTAAGTTGAATTTTTTTTTCTTTTCCTTTCGACAAAGTTTTGCTCCTAGACTCAAACCTACTTCTTTAACACTGTAAACATTTTCTCTTTTTATTAAAGTTATCACTGGTATGACTTTTTACAAGAGCTTGTGGAGGTTGGACAAGGGGTAGTGGATTAAAACTGGAAGAGGGTAGACTTAAATTAGAAATTGGGAGGAAAATTTTCATTGTGAGGATGGTGAGTCACTGGAATTGGTTACCCAGGGAGGTTGTAGATGCCCCAACACTGGATGGGTCAAGACTGTGTTGGTTGGGGCTTTGAGCAACCTGGTCTAGTAGGAGGTGTCCTTGCCCATGGCAGGGGGATTGGAACTAGGTGATCTTTAAGGTCCCTTTCAAGTCAAACCATTCTATGACTCTATGGTATTCCAAAGGAGATCTGCTTTCCCATAAGAACAAAAGGAAATCAATTAGACAATTTTTTTTGTGTATGTGGTAGAGTAATAAAGTGGCAATGGGACATAATTCAGAGTACACTTAACATTCACTGAAATTTTGGATGACTGTTCACTTAAATGCTCTTCATATCTCTTTTATGACTTCAAACTTTCCTGTATATATGACATTTCTTGTTTGTCTACAGACATCTGGTCCTCAAGGATCATTGAAGGATGGTGCCAGGAGCTCTCTTCAGAAAAGCTTCAGGGTCCTTAATGAAGCCACTACGTTAGAAAATGATGTTAAAGGTATGTGCAGTATATGGTATTCAGGTCCATTAAATATAAGGAAAACATTGTGAGAATGCTATGCTGCCAGTATGAAGAAGTCATATCAGTAAGGAAAAAATTATAATTCATTATCTGATTTGAAATTGAATGGTGTATCAAGGAAAATACTCTTCTGGGTTCAGGTATTATGCAGGGACACTTGTCCTGTCAGTCCATTTCTTCCTGTCTGGAAGGCTGAGGAGGACGGAGCCTTGGTCTTCTCTTGGTAACTTCAGTAAGGGCATGAGTAATTAGGGAGGAAAGGGGTGTGGAAATACTTGTTCTGATTTACTAGATGCTTTGGGAGAAAAACAGTACACAAAACACCCCAGCATTAAATTTTTAATTCTTGTCAACACAAAAACAGGGTTTGCAATGACAGTCAGAGATACGACTTCTCTTCAGGTTGCTTATGGGATTGTGCCAGAAAAGGGTAGCATGGGAAAGTAAAATGAAGATGTTTGCCAAACAGAGAGTAATGATAGGGAATTGCTGAGAGTTTTCTTTAAGAAAAAAAAGAAACTGAAAACATTTTTTAGAGAAAAAATATTATTTTTCTCTAGAAAATTTGCATTTACATTATAATGTCCTTATTATTTTCTCATCAATAAATGATAGTTTTATTGGTGTATACCATAGGATGACAAGGTAGGACAGTATTTACTATGGACACATATGAGGTCTTACATGCACATGTGAATAATCACTGACAGGAATACATGATGAGGAGCAATTGTCTGGGTAGAACTAGACTAAACAGAAGCATGCACAGAGGTGGAAAAGGCAAATGTCAAAGTGGAATGCATGATTAGGAGCATGGCTTTCTAAAACATGTGAAACACTAGTCCTGGGCACTGAACTGCATGTGGGCTAAAGTGGTTTGCAGAGAGTCATGAAGGCTTCGTGAAGTCTAGTTGGAAATCTACCAGAGGAGAGATGAGAAGAAAGATTGAAATAATTTAAATTTGTAGACTGAAAAAGAGACAACTGAGTAGGGACTTAATATTCTTCACCTAAGTCGAGATTACGCCAAAGAAGATGAGACTATCCTATCTCAAATGCACTGATACGGTCACATACTAGGAAAATCTTCCTTGCAATTAAAATACAGAAGTACTGGTATTGAGTACTGAGGATATTAGGGGGATTTGACCTTGGAAAGTCTTTGAAAACAGCTTAGGCAAATATCAGTGGGTATGATTGTTGATCAGAAGGGGAAAAATGTTCAGTGGACAAACATCTGTTCAGAACCTATGATTCAGTGATCTTCTGATCGCTGCAACTAACCGCAGTTTATTTCTTGCATCTTTATCCAGACAGATTGTTTTGTAGGACCTCTAAGGAAGCACTTATTGCAGCACTAATGAAGCATCTGTTTAACAGTACTCAACACTTCTTTCTCCACAGAAGTATTAGAAAGGAATTAAAAAAATAATTCATTTCAACTAAACCTGAGGGGAAATAAGCATGATACAATTATCCACTTTCAAGGAGGCCAAAACTGAGTTTCACACATCTGCCTTTGTGAAAAATGTTTAACGTTGCTGTTTTAATTGCTTTGGTTTTACATATAACAAAGAAAGCAATTTAGGAGGGTACAGTGCTTGTGCCACTGGTATAGTAAAGTCTGAGAGAAGGATCAATTAACTGAGTCCCCTGTACATCTGTTTTGAAAGTCTTTCATCCAAGTACTGAGCAATATTTTGATTAGTGTAGACAAATAAGTTCAAGTTGGTAACTTTGTGGTTTATTTAAAATTAATGCACTGTAAGCCTCTCCCTTTTATAATTTGAAACTCTGTTGTGTATATTTTGAGAAGATTGTGTCCAGTCACTGTGGTTTTTGAAAAATTCTTTCATACTAGATGCATTATAGTTTAATCTGATTCAACTGGCTGAAGCTATAATAGGGTTAACCTGGTATTCACCACAAGGACTGGAAAAGCATAGCGCTTGAAATCCTATTTGAGAAAATAGATTTAGGACTTGGAAGAAATAAAAATGAAGAAAGGAAAATAGCTATGATATATTTTGTGCTTAACATAGGCTCTAAAAATCAATCTGGGTTTGGTTTTTTGTTTGTTTCATGCATCAGAACTAGAAAAATAACATACAATAAATATTTGAGGTTGAATTTTAAACTGCTTGTCACAGAGATGATGCCTGAAGCTTCCCTGTCATGCTATAGTAATTAAAATACTTTTTATTAGAAACAAGACAGTTTTTTATAATAGATCCCAGTCTTTCAGGTTTTAACATACAAAATTTTCATTGGCCTCCTGGGAGATGCATTAAAGAAAGCATACAGCATGAGGGATGAAATCCATACAACTTAGTCATCTTTTGGCTATTACTACACTTCCATTTGGTTGTGGAAGCTCTAGGATTTTCCAGCTGCAAATTAGTTAACAAGTAAACATAATGTTTGATAAGGCCATAAACTATGTTTCATAAAGTCATTAAATACATTTCTCTGTCATACACTGTTTGAAAGTTAAAAACATTATTTTCTTGTAGCAGCTCTGAGGAAAAATATGTCTGCAATTACTGGATTTATATTTAGCGTATTCTTTATTGCAACTCTTTACTGCCAGTTTCAGTACAGATTTAGGGCTAGAGGGCCACGTTTCAGTAAATATGTTGCAGAAAATCAAAAAACTTTGAGGGGAGGCTGGTGTGCAATTTAAGTAGCATGGCTGAGGTAGAACAAATAGGGATGATGTTAGTGCCCTGTTCTGGAATGCAAACTTCTGCAGTCTGCCATGACTAGTGAATAGGAATCACTAAAGTGGCAGCTCTGACTCCTTCCTGCCACAGTGTTTCTCTGAGCAGATGACACCACAGAACAGAGTCCATAGTTTTGTGTCCTCCTCAGGCACTGGGGAATAATGGAGTAATCATGTGTTCCACATAGCACAATGCCCTTTTTTCAAGGACAAAATAAAATACTATCTGTACTCGGATATATGTGAATTCCATCTGTCCACAAGGCTGTCCAATTTAACTCTGAGAAAAGATGCATTACAACCTCAGTAACACATTACTTTGTTATTCTCTCGTTTTATGCCAGTGAGAATTTAAGTCGATAACAGTTTCATAATTCAGAAGCAAAGGTCTAAACAGTCTAAAGATTCAAAAAGCAATCCTAACGCAAGGAGGGAGCAGTGCTTAAAGTGCATGTATTAGTTCTTTGTCTATGTTCTTGCCCCATACTGAAGGGTAGAGAGATAGAGCTTTCTTAATGCTTTCTGTTTTGTCTTAGATTTAAAGTGCTTCATACAGACAAACATTCTGAACTTTCCACAGTACTTTTTTTTTTTTATTTTGAATCTAATAATACATGTCCAAGTTCCACAGCTTGGCTCACAAAGATCAGTTAACATTATGCCCAGAATGCAGATGCAAAAGAGTAAAATGCAATGACAGACTTCTTAGGTTTCTTTTCTTTTTTTTCCTGCTTTTACTCCAAAGTGGTGATGTTATTAGTATTATGAACATAATTCCTTCTGGATGTCTTCTTGTTTCTATGACAGAAAGTAAGTGTTGAGTCTCAGATTAATAGAAAGATATTTTCTTATGGTTCTGACAAAGCCACACTGTTCAGAATATCAGCTGGAAGTGCAAGATGGATGATGGGCTCTTTGTAAAGATCTGATAGACAGAAGTAATAATTAGTTTAAAAGTTCTCTGTCTGCTCTACAGATAATACATTAGTTAAAGTAATGAAGATCCATAAGCCCCTCAACTACTATAAACTCCAAAAATACAGGTTGGGCTGTGATGGAAGTGGGAGTGTTCTCTTGCTACATTATAACATTCCCCTGATTTGTGGCCAATTACCCCAGTTGTGAAATGGCTGTTAATCATGGAAATGTTTTATATTACCACCAAAAACTGCTGAAACAGTCCTTAGAAAGCAAAGCTTCTGACAGAAGCTATTAAAATGGAGATTTAGTAATTTCTTTCTCAGTGGGGCTAGTAGTTAGAAGGAATAAACCTGATGGGAGAAGTAAAATCTGTATGCAGTGCTCTGGCTAAGAAGGGTTTTGAAATTTTGGCTACAAATGAGTGAATGCTGCTGCTTACCAGCTTCTTTTTCTCTGTGCCTTGAGGGATTTTCAGTTTGCCAGGAGCAATTTTTCCTCCTTATAATTTTGAGTTTACTGTTTTAAAAATATACTTGCCCCAGTGCAGCTTTGAGTCTATATACAAACTTTGTCAAAACTGTTCAATAAAAAAAAAAAGAAAAAAAAAATTTATAAACTCCTCTTGAGCTGGAAACTGTTGTCAGATGGCTACTGAAATTCAGCTCGTGTCAGTTCCAATTTCTTTTGCTTAAGAATTGACAACTTGAGGGGGACTTGTCTTGTCTGACAACAAGTGAATATTTTTAGCTAAAACATTTTCTAGTTGATAGGCACAGCTAAATCACTTGTTTGTGTATTCTCCTCTGCTTTGTATTTTTGCTGACCTGGTATATTGCATTCATCAAATTATTGCATTAGTCTGATGAGCAACATAATATTCATACAAAAACTGCAGTCAGGGCTGGAAGTAGTCTTTCTAAAAAGTCAATCATTAGCTACATCCCTCTCATTATATCTCTTTACC